CTATACTAGATGTATTGTTTATAAATCAATTATAGCGCCACACTTCGAGTATTGTGCAACGTTGTTAATAGATATGAGTAAGACTCAGCTAACAAAACTGCAAGTAGCGCAAAACCGCGCCATAAGAGTGATATTGCAATGTGTTAGATATACCATTGTCGAAAAAAATGTTGCAAGCGCTGTAGTTTATATCAGTCAGGCGTAGATTGTATTACAATGTGTATCTTTATTTTTAAAATATTAAACGGTATAATGCCGGAGCATCTAGGAAATAAATTAGTTGTAGTAGGAGATGTAAGCGAGAGGCGAACGAGAATCGGAAAATATTAGAATAGATTTTAGAAAAACAAGAAGCGCACAAAAAAGCTTGTTCTATGAAGGTGTGAAAATGTATAATGCCATACCGATAGAATTGAAGCAATGCAATAGACTTGTATTATAGTATTTAAGCATATGTTAAAGAAATACATAATGACTATGTTACCTATACTTTAGGATACTTTTAAGACAATTTGTTATATATTATGTATGCAAATAGCTGAAAAAACTAATAAATATCATTCATTCATTCATTCTCTCTCTCTCTCTCTCTCTCTCTCTCTCTCTCTCTCTCTCTCTCTCCACTTCCCTCATCCAGCTCTCGCCCTCTTCCAGTATCCTGTCGTACACCTTCTGCCACCTTCCTTCATCTCCTTCCTTCCATCTTCTGCATTTCTTTTACATGTGTTCGCACATTTTTTCTCTTCATAACAGTCCATAACAGTTCATAACAGTCTACATAACCTGTGTGAAGGTTACCATCAATGTGGTGGTCTAACCTTTTCTCCTCTTCCTTCCAGTATCTATTTTTCCTCATTTCGTTGCTCAATCTGAACCTGCTATCCTCTGCCATTTGCTCTCTCCCCATCCTTTATTCAATTACTCCGGCACCTCCTCTCCTTTTGTTCTACCATATCTAGTATTACTTATCCTCTCCCACTTCTCTATTCTTTGTCTTTCTTTATCACTCGCTTCTAGCTGTTGTTATTTTACCTTCTTCCCCGTGTATCATTTCTTCCCTTAGTTCCATCTCTCTATCCTCGAAAAACTGTTTCCTTTCTTTTTTCCATCCCGTGAGCTCCTTGCCATTCTCTGTGCTCTCCCTCATTTCTCTCATACATGCTTGTGCCAATACACTTCCCCTATTCTCGGCTAGTTTCTCCTTGAATCCCCAAGCCGTTCTCCACATCCTACTACATATCTTTTCTCTTTTCATTTCTTTTCTCACCATATACCCCGGAATCTTTCCCTCCACTCCCAATACTCATCTTAGATACTGTTCTTGTAATCTCTATACACTCTTTTTCTTTCCAACCTCACACTTCCACCTCGTAGTTTGCCACTGCCTACACCAATCTATCAAAGAGCCATATTCTTCTTTTCTAGTTCTTTCCAAATCTTCTTTTCCCTATACCCCATACCTGACCTATCACCGTCGCTGCTCTTGCCACTCTGTCCCTTACTTGCGTCTCCTATCCCCGATTCCTCTGCACAATATACTCAAGGTATACTTGAATTGCTTCACCTCCTTTATCCTTTTACCCTTCCATCTCTAGCTGACGTTACTCCACCTTTCCCCTCTCCTTCTGAATCTCATTATTTTGATCTTGTCTGTGTTCAGTACTAGCCCTTTCCTCTCGACCTTTTTATTACACTTCTTTCCAATACACTTTTCATCCCCTCCTCTTCCTCTACTAATAGCACCATGTCGTCTGCATACGCCAAAGAGTATATGCGTTTCCCTTCTAGATTTACTCCTCCCCACTTGACCCTCTCCATCTCCTCTTCCAGATCTGCTATGAGCAGATTAAATAGAGTAGAGCTCATTGGGCATCCCTGTCTCAAGTCTCTCGCTGTCCAGCATTCCTCCCTCATTTCCTCACCCACCTTCACTTTGCTTTTTGTTTCCTGCATTAGCTCCTCTATTCTCTCTATTAATTCTATCCTTATTCTCCTTTCTCTCATCGATTGTATTAATACCTCCCTATTTACCGAGTCGAACGCTGCTTTTAAATCTATGAAAGCTGCCACCAGCTTTCTTTCTTTTTTTCTATTGGTCTGTTTATTATGTATATATTATATGTATATATTATCCCGTAACGTTCCCATCCACTTTCTAAAACCTGTTTGGTTCGGTGGAATTAGCCCTTTTTCTTCTATGTCATCCCTCATCCTCTCCGCCGTATACACTCTATATGTATAGACATCCGTTTCCGGTAGGTTAGAAGTAGACAAGCAAACCTGATTGTGAGAGAGAGAGCGAAATGCAGTGAAATGTGTGGAGTGAGTGGGTGTGAGAGAGTACGAGGAAAGGGAGGAGTGAGCGTAGTTGTGGTGAGTCAAATTATCCAATGGGTTAGATGTCAAAACGGGCATAGGGAGGGAGCAAGGGAATTGAGATTAGGAAAAAAAAAGAGGAAAAAGATGGAAGAAGAAAAGGGAGAGAGAGTGTCGCACCCACGAAGTAAGAGTAGAGGAGACTCAACTTGATAGTGCGCGAGCTGAAAAAGTAGGACCGGTTTGTGCGCCGAATTGAGAGGGAGTCCGCTGAAAAGAATAACTTTAGTTATTTGGACGCCAATTGCAATATTAATCTTATCTTACTTTATCCATTGCTGGCGTCTCTCGTTTTATATCTTCGTGTGTGTGAATACATACAACGAGATTGCAAAGATGTCATGTTGGATTCGTGGGTGTACGAACGTGGGAAAAAGGAAGAAAAAAAAATGCTTTGGAAGAGAAATAGGTTTTTTAAATCTCACACAGTAAGTACTGCAGTATTTTTTTAATTGTAGAGATACGTACTGTCAATGTATGTAATGCCGTTGTATTTTCCTTTCGCAGTGCATCCACGAATCTAACATGACATTACTGCAATCTCGTTGTACGTATTTACACGCACGAAGATATAAAACACCGGGAGCCACCAGACAAAAATTTATATAAAGCGTACAAACCTGACAAACAATAGGTAAAGTAAGATAAAGTTAATATTGCAAATGGCGTCCAAATAACTAAAGTTATTTCGATCTGCGGATTCCCTCTCAATTCGGCACACAAAACTGGCACACTTTTCTTAGCGGAGTTGAGTCTTCTCCTCTCTTACTTCTTGGTCGCGCCGTAGAGGGACTCATGGGACTCAAGAAAGGAAATAAGGGAAGTTACAGTAGTACTGAAGGAGGCAATGAAAGAGAAAATAGATAGAATTAAGGATATTTTAAAAATAAAAAGAGAGGAGAAAAAGAAAAAAAAGAATTGAAGAATAGAATAGAAAGATTAGAAAAGAATTTCAAGGGAATGAAGGTGAGGTGAGAAGAAGGTGATAGAGAAGAAAAAAGGGAAAGTGAAAAGGAAAAGGAGAGAAGAATAGAAAATAAGGAAGAAGGATGTGGAAGGAGAGATTGAGAAGACTAGAAAGAAGAAGTTAAAGGAGGGAGAGAGAAGAGAGGAAAAAGAATATCTTAATAAAAGACATAAGAGGAGATGGAGGAGGCTTAGGAAAAAATATTGAGGAGATATGGAAGAAAATAGGAGTAGAGGCTAAGGTAGAAAGTGTGAGAAAGATAAAGACGGGGAAGAAAAGGGAGATATGGTAATAATGGGAGTGGGAAGCGAGGATAAAACGAGAAAGGTCATGAGTAACAAATGGAGACTGGAAAAAGAGATATGGAGGAGGACCTAACATGGAAGGAAAGAAAAATGAAATGGCAGCTGAGACAGATAGCAGCAAAAGAGAAGGGGAAAGGAATAAAATTATTCTAGGACAAAGTAAGATAAGAATTGCAGGAATATGTTGGAGTTAGGACGAGGATAGGGAGGAACTGAATGGAAGAGGCAAAGGATAGAAGGAAATGGAACAAGTAAACAGAAGAGAAGAAGGAAAAATGGAGACAGATAAAAAGAGTACGGAACATAGTCAGGGGTAAGGGGACAGGATGGGCATTTAAGAGGAAAGCAAATTTAGAGATAGTTTTTCTAAAATGTAGCAGGACTTAAAAATAGGAATAAAGATAGGGATTTTTGGAGAAGAGTAGAAGATTGGGATGTAGTGATTATGATCGAAACCTGGTTGGAAGAGAAAAAATGGAAAAAAGTAAAGGACGTATTACCGGTGAGTTATGTATGGAAAGCACAGATGGCGAAAAGGAAAAACAGGACAGGCATTAGGGGATATGCTACTGGGAATAAGATGAGATAATAACGCAAGAAGAAGTTAGCAGACAGAAAATGGAAGGGATTGTGTCGGGGAGAATAAAGTATGATAAGAATATATTAAGGATAGTGGGGATTTACATGAACGGTGACATGGAAGGAAAGTTAGAAGAGTTGAAAGAATGGATGGAGGAAGACGAGTAGGGTAGGATAGACGGACACCTTGGATAATGCTAATGTCGACGGTACTGTAACTTACAAGCTTCATAACTTAAAAAGTATTTATTGAAAAATAATTTTATTATAGCGTTTTGGAAAGTTCTCGAGGTGTGCTACAAGAATATGTAATGAAATATGGGGGGTTCCATTTAAGAAATTTAAAGTGACTTTGTCCTAACCTTGACGACGCCAATTAGGGTCAAACCAATGTTATTATTTTATGTCCCCCTCGAAGTCCCAAAACTTTTGTCTGAAAATTTTTTTTCTAAAATGCACTGTTCAAGAGATATTTAAGGTGATCGATTAAAATGGGATACCCTATACAAACAATATACACATCACTTAGATTAAATAAGATAATTTTTATTTAA